CCACCATTGATGCACTAATTTCACGGATGTTCAACCATCTATACCTGTGCCTGGGGAATTAATTTTGTACTAGCAGAAAACATGGATACTGAACAAACAAATTAGCTGCTCTGAACATGTCCGCTCTTGTAGGTTGTCATTATTTACAGGGTTTTCCTAATAAAAATCATTTAAAAAATTAAGCTACAGCCACAGGACTGAATAACTGAAAAATTGATTCTACAGCTGACTTGTAAGATGAGTTTAGGTAAATCTTTAGTTGTATATTTCCTCATTGATAAAATTCAGATACCAATGCTTAGGTCCACAGTAGGCATGATCTACGTTTTAAATGAGTGAATATTATATTCTCTTACTGAAATAGGCGGGTCTATGTTCCCTTCAAAATATAACCTGAGATAAGGGCTTGCACGCGGTTGGTTTATTTTGGGAAGTGATTACAAGGAACAGTAGAGAGGGACTGGGAAGAGCGAAACAGGGAAGGATGAAGTCGATCCAAGGATTCGTTATCAAGGTGATTACCACTGTGGCATCTGATGGCTGATCTCACCAGGACCCTCTGTGAAGCCATAGAATGCATCACCAAATTGTCTGCCCAGTGGATGGAAGAGGAATGATTTATCCACCATCTCCCACCCCACACTGGCCAACGGTTGCCCCATGAGGTGTTAAATCCCTTGTACTTTGAGGTTTGCTCCTGTGTCTGAATGGCCGAGTGGATTCCTGCAGCAGCGGGGAAGCCCTGGGACAGAAGTGAGAGATGTATGGTTTAGCTGAGGTTATACCGTGTGCAGCTGATCGCCACAGCAATGGCCAGAGTTAAAAGATGGTCCGAGGAAAATGTGAAGGACCTTAGAAGACAAGAGTTGTCTATGACTAGTAACATTGTAAGCTGCTAAGTGAACAGGAAGTGATTTGACACAAGTTTGCAAGTACGAAATACAACCAAAATTATATTAAATCTATTTTTGTAAAATTTGTCCATCACACATTCTTACAATAATAATAACAAATTATCCAATTTTTATTACATGCCAAACACTGCACTAAGCATCATATCATTATTATTTCCTTTAGTCCTCAAAACAACCCTGGGAGGTGGCCATATCTCAGTGCTTCTGAATCTTAGGCGATTTACCCTCCAGGAGACATTTGGCAGTGTCTAGAGACAGTTTTGGTTCTCTCAAGTAGAGGTGATAACTGGCATCTAGTGAGTAGAGGCCAGGGATACTGCTAAACATCTTATAATGCATAGGACACCCTTCCACAATAGCGAATTATCTGGCCCAAAATGTAAATAGTGCCAAGATTGAGAAATCCTGGCATATCTTTATCCCCATTTTATAGTTGAGGAAACTGAGACTACATTTTCTGGAATGAGAGAGCTAGTAGGTGATGGAGTTGGGATATAACCTATAGTCTGTCTGATTCTAAAGCCCATGTAACCATGCTGTACTGCCTCCCTATACAGGGAAAATGTAAGTGCCTTTAAAACTCATTGTGGAGAGCCAATGTGACTGATTTGTATGTCAGTTATTATAGTAATCATGATAAAGAGTTGAAAAATGCCAATAATTATTGGAAATAATTGATACTTCTGATTTTATAACGAGTCAGTATTTGGAAAATGGGAAGGATTTAACTGTTCAAAGTCACATATGTGCATTCTCAGCCTTTCTTGTCACTCTGTAGTGCTGTCACATCAAAACAAGTCAAATTTACCAGGAGGTGGTAAATTTGGAAAACATGGCATAAAGATTACTCTTAAGTTCAGAAACAAAGGATAGATTTTCAAAAGTAGATTCCTTGTCCAGATTCTGCTTTCCACCTGCCTTCCTTTTTGACATCACAGCTTATGATCACTCACAACTTCACACTCATTCATTTTCAAAGAGATGTATAATTCCTTACAGTGGCTCCACTGAGCCACGTCCAAGACTGGCCATCTCTACCCAAGGCCATCATTACCTTTTGTACTTGCCAGCCCTCAGGATTAATGGCTTCCCAAGAGAACCTGATAAAAGAGTATTCTGACAGGAAATAAAAAGAAGTCAGAGCATGGCAAATTATAAAGGATTTGGGCTTTTTCCTCTAGTAAGGGCTGTATCTAAAGTAATGCAGATCACTTTCTCGGAGTGGGGGAATAGGAGATGAGTGGATATGGTGTGGGCTCAGATAATCAGAACTAAGTTGGAATCCCAGCTCTGCCACACAAGCTGTGGCACCTTGGGCAAGTCACTTAAGTTTCCTAAGCTTTAATTTCCTCATCTATAGGGCTGGCCCTGTGGCTCAGCGGTTAAGTGCGCGTGCTCCGCTACTGGCGGCCCAGGTTCGGATCCCGGGCGTGCACTGACGCACCGCTTCTCCGGCCATGCTGAGACTGCGTCCCACATACAGCAACTAGAAGCATGTGCAACTATGACATACAACTATCTACTGGGGCTTTGGGGGAAAAAAAAGGAGGAGGATTGGCAGTAGATGTTAGCTCAGAGCCGGTCTTCCTCAGCAAAAAGAGGAGGATTAGCATGGATGTTAGCTCAGGGCTGATCTTCCTCACAAAATAAATAAATAAATAAATTAATTAATTAAAATAAATAAATAAATAATTTCTTCATCTACAAAATGAGGACAATAATGTTTTCCACAAAGCCAGGGCTACTGTAGATATTCAATAAACATTAGCTATTATATTTATTTAATTTTAGGGCCTTAAGTACAGAAAGTTGAATGAATCATATTCTTCAATTCATTGTACATGATTCTCATGAATCTGTAAGTTCTATAGTCTTATACTTTGCTTTCCCTTTCACTTCTCCCATTCCCACTCTTATTCTTCTCCCTTATGTAGGTACTAATTTATTTTGTCTGTTGGGTGTCCTTGGATATACATGTTTACTTGAAAAAATTAGTACATATCCATATACATGTGTCCCTACTGTTTTAAAAATTAACGTATGTGATATTCTGCCATTGTATAGATCTCAATCTTTTCTTGCTTTTTCTTCATTCAACACAATATGTTTAAGAGCTACTCATGCTGCTGAATGTATCTCTAGGTGATTGTTCCTTACTGTTGGCCAATATTCCACTCTAAGCATCTACCACCTTTTATCTACCTATTGCTCCTTCTGATGGACACGTAGGCTGCCATCCCAAATAACTGATGAACAGTCTGTACATGTGCCCTTATAAGCTCTGCACAAACTTTTCGATAGATCCACAGTAGTCTTTAAAAAAGTTCTACACATATTTATAACTAAAATAATCTTCGAAAACTAGGAACAAAAGAGGAGAGCTTCCTTAAAATGATAAAGACGATAAACCAGATATTTACAGCCTATATTAAATAAAATGGAGACATTTCAGAGATAGTCTCCTTAAAATCAGACAAGAATGCTAGCTATTACAGTACTTTCAACATTGTACAGGAAAACCTAACCAACATAATAAGAAAAAGAAATAAGAATAAGGATAAGATAAAATTGTTATCATTTGTAGATGATATGATCATCTACATGTAAACTCAGTGAAATCAAAAGACAAATTATAAGACCTAAGGAGTTCAGTAAACTTGATAAACAATATCAACTTACAAAAATCAGTATCATGTGTCTGTACTAATCATAACTGACTAGGAAGTATAGTGAAAGCAAGATACAGTTCATAATAGTAACAAAAACTACAAAATTTCCAGAAATTAAACAATACACAAGACTTCTATGAAAAAAATTTAAATGTTATTAAAGGGCATAAAGAGAAATTTGAATCAATAGAGAAATCTAACATTGTAAGTATGACAGTTCTTTCCAGATTTATATATTCCATACAATGCCAATTAAAAATTAAGCAAGATTTTTAAAGAAGTTTGACAAACTTTTTAAAATATTTATACGGAGGAATACAGTTTGTGAAGAAATAAATCAATTGAAGAAATTTCAAAGAGTAAAGACTTCCCTCCTATATTTTATGAATACTATAAAGAAATAATAATAAAAAGTGGTAAAGTACTGGTGCAGAGCAGATATAGATAAGCAGAATAGAAACAGAGGGCACAGAACCAGATCTAGGTATACTATAAGGGAATTTGTCATTTGCTGGAGGTGGCTTCACAAACCATTACATAAAGTATACACTGTTTAATAGATGATGTTAGGGGAAAATGGCTCACTTTGGAGATAAAGTTAGATCTCTCCTCACATCACATATATATATATGTTCAAATACATATATATGTTCAAATATATATACATGAACTCCTGAAGGATACAAGATATTTAATGTGAACAGTAAATTTATAAAGTCAAGAGAAAATGGCATATAATGTCCTTGTAAGCTTAGGGCAGCAAAAGTTTTCTTTCAAAAAGTACAAACTATAAAATTAAAAATTGGTAGATTTGACTACCTCAAAATTAAAGATTTTGGTTACATAAAAGGCTTTATAGTCAAAATCAATGTGATAGATCGATAGTAGATATTCAAAATGTTAAAAAAAAAAAAAAAAGAAAATTTCTTCCAAATCACAAAGAAAAACATTAGAAACCAAATGATAAAAATGGCAACGGATGTAAATGGACAACTCACAGAATGGAAAACTCCATAGCTATGACACATAAGAAGAGGTGCTTACCTACGCCAGTGAGCGGAAAAGACAAACTGAGAAAAGTAACAGTGTGATGCAGCCTTACACACAGATGATGGGGGAAAACCAGACAGCCGGATAATGCCAAATTCGGGGGAGAGAGGCGAGGGTGATGGAAAGAAAAGGGAATCTGGGCCCCTGCCCTTCCTCCTCCCTCCCTGCCCCCTCCCGGCCCCCAAACTCCCCCTCGCCCCACCCCCGCCGGAACCCCGCGGGCTGTGCGCAGCGTCTCCACCCACGCGTGAGCCTCGGCTGCGTTTCCAGCCGGGGAGTCAGAGATCCATGTCCTCCACTGCCTCCCGTTTGGATGCCAAAGCAAAAACACCCTAATTGACACTTTGCTGCCTTTCGAGTGACTCTGGGCTCCTCGGGAACATGAGTGGACGGGCCCGCGTGAGGGCACGAGGCATCGCCCGCAGCCCCAGAGCCGCGGAAGTGGGGCGCACCCAGGCCTCGCCGCGGGTGCGTAGAACGCTTAGCTGACCTTGTCTCGCTCTCTCCTACCTTTGTGTCCTTCTTGGACACCGTCCTCCTGTGCATGTAGCTCTTCGTCTCTGCTAGGAAGTAGTGGGTTATCTTCTCTATCAACTTTGAGTCTTTCCAGCGTTTCTCACATTTTTCCCTTAAGTTATTATTGTAGATATTTTGACCATAAAGAGGACTGAAAATTGGAGGCAAGTGTCATTCTTTTCTACTTGCTGAGTTTGAATTACTTGGTTCGGTTTTAAGTCTCCTGATAAAAATTACTGTACCTTAATAGTACCGTTATATAGTAGACAATCTAATATGGTTCGTCTCGCTAATTAATATAGAAAAATAAATGATTTCAAACACAGCTGTGGTTTAGAGTCAGCCACTGATTCTTGAGCAACCCCTGTGGGTAGGGCTCCTTGCCAGGCTCAGGCAACTAGATTGAATTGACCGGCAAATCGACAACTTTTGGGTGAAGTTATGTACTCTTAGTGGGTGGAGCAATCTCTTAGACCAAAAGTACTCAAGCAAGTAGTCTGTGGTCTTTATGCCTTTACTCTCATGAAGAGGTCTTCTCTTGACCTCATCTATTTTTTAGCAGGCCAAGATATATTCCATCTTGAATAAAGAGAAGTAGTTACTGTGAAAAGAAAAAAGATTAATGGTTTCCTTCAACTATTATGTGAACTAATCTTGGACCAGTTTATTCAGGAGAGTCATCATCTGAGCTGGTGACCCAGGTCCTCTGGGCTCAATTTATTTCCTTGCTACAGACATGTTCACGTTGGAGGCCCCATGTCTGTGGGCCGTGGAAGCATGAGGTCCAGGCTCATCTGTACCACCTTCTCTCTGATGAGCTCCCTGAGTACAAGGATCATATCTCTGCCTCTTTACACCTCCAGGGTCTAAAGCTGTATCTGGCTCACAGTTGGTACTAAAATCAAAGTTTGATGAATGGGGAAAACTATAGCTTATCCTTATGCTTTTTACTAGAATGGGCAATCTCTTCTCATCATCTCTTAAGTGTTTTACCTGTTAACATTAGCTCATGGTAATCTAATGACTTAGGACATGTTACGGTTCTTATTTTGTGATAACCTTTTGATTTATGACGACGTCTTAAATTTGACCAAAATTTTTTTTCCCATTTTAGCCTACATCTTTTGATCTTAGTAACAATGAAGCATCCTCTGGCAGTGGTTGTATGGGAACAAGCAGGATTTCACAGGAATGTAAGTGCAACTCAGTCTGTTCTGTTCAGTTCCATTCCATCTGAATGGAACAGGAGGGACTCTACTAAGCCTTATGTGACTTCTTGAGCATCCCATTTTCCTTTTCTTGAAGGATCCCCGTGTGTTTGTTGTGTTTCTTTGGGACTCCCAAACGCAGAGCCTGCCACTGAATTTCCTTATTGTGCTTGGCAGTTGGGAATCCACAGACATTAAGAAGCCAGTGTTTCTCATGGACAGAGAAAACTGGACTGTGGTTACCAGGGGCAGTGGGGGTGGGGGGTGGGCACAAGGGGTGAAGGGAGTCATATATATGGTGATGGACAAACAAAAATATACAACCCAAAATTTCACAATGTTAGAAACCATTAAAACATCAATAAAAAAAAAAAAAAAAAAGAGAAGAAGCCAGTGTTTCTGATTCTTTCTGTTCACTGAATAATTTTGAAAAAATATTTTAAGACTCTTTATGACATATAAATGGCAGTACCATTGCCTTGCAGGGATGGTGGAAATCTGGCACACCTGCTGCCACTTCTCTCTCCTTCCTTTCCCGCCCGCGGTAGACATTACCATTTGATGGTAGTTCTTTTCCCTGCAAATCCAGATTTGGCCTCAGAATACTTGTCAACATGCTTCTGCAGGTAGCTACTATCACAGAGTGCTAGTTGGCGTGCCCAGTGCACGAGTTTGCTAGGGTTGCTGTGACAAAGTACCATAGACAGCGTGGCTTGAACAGTAGAAATGTATCGTCTTATAATTCCAGCACTACTGCCACCATTCAAATGTTATCCTAACTTCTCTTTGGGAATTTCTTTCCACATTTGCTGCACATTCTAGTCACTAGCAAGTAATGGAAACCCTTCATCCTTTGAGGATAGATTGAATTTTTACTTATTTTTTAAAATTGTGAAATATGCATAACATAAAGTTTACCATTTTAACCGTTTTTAAGTTTACAATCCAGTGTCATTAAGAACGTTCACATTGTTGTGCAACCATCATCGCCATCCATCTCTAGAACTTTTTTCGTCTTGCAGAACTGAAACTTCGTACTCGTTAAACCATAACTCCTCCTACCCCCCTCCCCCTAGTCCCTGGCAACTACCATTCTATGGTAGATTGAATTTTTAGAAACCACCAAACATCTTTTGAAACCAAGAGCGGTGAATGTTATGAATAATCTTGTGAGGATAATTGAATTTTTAAAAATTAAATAAATTTTGTGATTTTGCTGGGGGATTCAGACTCCACTGAGAAAGATACAGAGGGCAGTTTTGAGCAAGTGGTAGTGCCATTTCGGGTAGTTGCATGCAGTGACTGTACTGAGGACAGTGGTCGAGTCGGAGTCCTGGAGATTCATCATACTATTAGTCATATTACTTTGTAGTAGTAGTCTGTATTTTTATATTTTCACATTATCTTCAAAGTGCCAAAGTTGTATCCAAAAAATCAACGTCTCTTTGTACTCGTTTGAACAGAAAATATTCATTTGGAAACTTTTATTTTTAATTTCGTACTTTCTAGAACCTAACAGTAAGTGATATTCTCCAAAGTAAAACGCTTGCTTTCTTTCTCCGGGGAATGATCTAGCATACAAACTGATGGCAGTGTTCTGGGCATTTCTCTTCTTGTGGTTAGGAAAGATGAGAGAATTCAGCCCCAATCTGTGCAGAAGTTGGTGTGACAATCTTGGTTTGTAACTCTTCAGAGTGTTACACAAGAGCTGAAGGAGGGAGAGCTACCTTCCGTAAATGGGTGTGGAGCGGGACATAGGGAGATAGAGCTTTCTCCTTAGCCGAGGGGAGAATCAGAACAATCCAAAATATTTGAAGAGGTAGGACTAACTCAGAGTCTGTTATTTCTAACAAAACGTGCCATGTTTCCTCCACAGTTTTCAGTTTTTAGGCTGAAGACTGCTATATAGTCATGATTGTTTTCAGCAATGTGGGCCAGTTTTATTAAGACCACAAAAATCAGAGTTATGCTTCTAGATGCGTTTTTGACATAGTAGCTGTAAACAATATGACTATAATGAAATATGAGACATTATGGTGTTCTCTTCATATTTTAGCTGAAGATGGCATATCCTCTGGTGATGCTGGAAGTACCTTCATGGAAAGAGGTGGGAAAATCAGACAGGATTTCATGGATTTGGCTGTCTATACTAGAGAGAAATTGGCCCATGTGAAAGATTGCAAAACAGGTACCCAGTCTTCACGTTACTTACTTTTCAATGTTGCCTCAAAAGCTTTAATTCCTACATCTAAAACAAACAAGTTCATATATTATCTTAAAAGATATTTATTGACCATCTATGGTCAGTGTGGTCTGACTGCTATGTTCAAGGCATTATCTAGACACTAGATATTTTAACCTTAATTCTCTCTTTTATTAATAGAGATAATAACATTTTCTTTAAAACTACATTTCACTTGTTGAAAACATTTTTCTTTACACCTGGGTTAGGGGTCAAAAAAGGTGCTTTGTCTCTTTCCCAACCCTTTTCCTATATGGGGAATAGTAACCTTTCTAGTTTCAGCTATAAAAAGAAAGATATGGCCTGTTTCAGGAATTCTTTACCCAAATTCCAGGCTCATCCCTGAAATTGCACCCAGAATTGTGGACATACACATTTTCAGGGAAGTAGGTCTGTTGTTTTCATTGGATTCTCAAAAGGCTTTGTGACACCCTCCCAGAAGTTAAGACTCACTGATGCAGATCAGTCTTTTTCAAACTTTTAAAAACCAGCAAAGTAAGAAATAGAAATATTGTTATCCAGCATACACATACTACCCAAGGATAGTTGAAACAAAGTTTCATGAAACAATGCTTGCCCTTACTTGGGCAAGGTACTCCTGTGCATTCTGATGTATTCTAGTCTTTTCATGAAACATGATGGTTCACCTCACTTACTTTCATACCTGCAGCGCTAATGGATCATGACTACAGTTTGAAAACACTAGTGTAGATGATCTCGAAGGGTATTGCCAGCTCTGACATTCTAGGATGACTTCTCTTTGTCCGTTAATATGAGCAGCTAAACTACATTGCCATTTCCTCAGGATCTGGAAGAACAAAAGAAAGCTTTTCTTTAATTAAAATAGCACATTGATTCCTTGCTCCTACCATGTGTATACCAAAGATCAAAGCTGGGGAAATACTAAGGCACACATGATACTTTTTCTTCCCCAGCACCTCCGGGGCTCATGTTTCCACTTCCTCCGTGAAAAAAGCAAATTAGTGCCTATTTGATATAATTCTTTTCTGTACGACAAACACTGGATGAGTCCTACAAAGAGAGGTGAAAGGTACTTCCTTTGTGCCCTCCTAGATTCTGTCCTGGAGGGCGCTTATGCCATCTTGAGTGCTGACCACCTACATTGTGGCCATCTCTGAAAGTCTGAGTTAGACTTTGAAGAGGTGAATAAAAAATTCTGTAGAGAGTGGAATTCCTGGAAGCACACATGGTCTCCATGTGCCTGCAAAAAATAGAAACCAGGTGGGGCTGGCCCGGTGGTGCAAGCGGTTAAGTGCACACGCTCCGATGTAGCGGCCCGGGGTTCGCCGGTTCGGATCCCAGGCGCACACGGACGCACTGCTTGTCAAGCCATGCTGTGGCGGCGTCCCATATAAAGTGGAGGAAGATGGGCATGGATGTTAGCCCAGGGCCAGTCTTCCTC